GAACTGTATAACCTACAGATTTGAAATTTTGGATTTTAAGTATGTTATTATAGCTTACTGGATGATGAAAATTTCTGCGCTTTGGACTTATCCAGAGGTTCTCAAATATGGGCCTGTAAATGCAGCGAAATAATTCCAGTAACGGATGGTACAGAAGTGTTTGTTTCGCTCTGGACTTGGCGCTACCGTGCCCCCAGATGTAGCGAGGTAGGCTTTCCAGGCGATAAGTTCTTAGGTATCGTTATGAGCTAATGTTCACATGTAAACATCAGCTCATGTAATGAAGGTTAAACGTCCAGGCGACTTTGGTTTTATTTCTGTTTCTAGATAATCAAGACGATGTATTTATAGTAACTGTAAATGGATTGTTAGAACGCTATGTAAGAAAGAATGGTTCACATTTTGACTATCCGCCATTCAAATATATAGAAGGCGAAATCATCACGGTCTCTTGCGAAACTAAACTAAAGTATCCATTGCAGTTTTATTTTGGAGCACACAATGATAGCACAGGAATCAAAGGTTAGTGACTTAATAGTTATCATTAATGACGGAAACATACTTAAGTATCGTGGCATGCCAGAAGTTATATGATACACATATGATAGACATTAGTCTCATAAAATTATGGTCACTAGTATAGCGTGGCAGGACACGCTTCGACATGTTAGTCTATTTTCACCTCAACATCATAAGACTTGACTTATTTATTTATTTAAATTTATAGTCACAACGGTTAAAATAACCAGTAACTAACTGGACACACAAACACGACACATAACTTATGGGTATTTCTACTTATTCTTATTACAATGTTATTATGTGTTTGAAATAAAGCTATATTTTTATGTACAACGATACACAGTTCAAATATAAGTCTGAACTGGTCAAGCAGTAACTGCCTCATCTTAAATCCATCCAAAACAAAATTTATGCTTTTCGGAACAAAGACGCAGCTTTACAAGACTCCTAGTAATATTAACGTTCTCTTGAGGGGTCAAATCATTGAGCGTGTCTATGAAGCGCGAAATTTGGGTCTGATAATGGATCAAGGTCTTAGGTTTGAGTCCCACATCTCTAACTGCGTCAGAAACTGTTTGTACCGCTTGAAGATACTTTACAAAATGCGCCCGTATCTAAGCGAGGAGTTGCGTGTGCGGCTGGTTGAGTCGTTGGTTTTATCCAAGCTAAACTACGCTGACGCGGTTATTGGACCTAGACTGTTTTCACGCACTGAGCGATTGATACAGAGGGTTCAAAACGCCTGCGTGCGTTTTTGTTTTAAAATTCCACCTAGGAGTCACATAACACCTTACTTAAACAAGTACAATCTTCTAAAAATGAAGTCTCGACGTAAGCTCCACCTGGCATGTCTGCTCTTTGGTGTGATTAAGTACAAGTGTCCAGCATACCTGTACTCGAAGCTCTCGTGGGTGAATGCTCATCGGCAGCTGGAGGGTAGGCGGTGTGCACAACAGCTGGCTATACCGCAACACAAATCGGCTGCTTTTCGGGGTAGTTTCCGATATGCAGCTTCTAAGTGCTGGAACAACATACCTCCGCCAATCAGGAACCTGCAAAGCACTTTCACTTTTAAAAGAAAACTCAAGGAGTTTATTATTAACTCTCAAATTGAGAGTGAATCTATTAATATTGACATTTCGTTTATTTAACTCGTCGAATACCGTATTTATAGACACAATTAAAGAACAATAGGTTGCGGTCACCGGTGACCGCTTGGTGTTTGACAGTTTAATCTGACATTTATCCTTCTTATTATTTTATTCGTATAACTGGGTACACAAATTATGTTAGTCATATTTTCATATTTATTTATTTTTATAATTATAATTATTTATTATTTTCATTATTAATGTAACGATATCTTACAAACTCACCCTCGAGCCCCTTGTAGTTGCGTCAGTGCTGGCGAAGTGTCGACCTGCTCGCTGTAACCTCTCGCAATGAGTGTCGGGCTGCGCGATAGCTTCACGACCACAACTTACCCACACTATTTTAATTGTCGTGATATAGGTATGTGGTTTATAATTTTTTTATTTTTTTTCTTCGGTGACGGTACACGTAGCACTAGTTTATGTATTTATACTTATTTTTTATTTATTTATTTATTGATCGCGCAATGTGCACACACAGAGGTCTGTGTTTAAATATCTTCCTTTTCTTTTATTGTTTTAACATGTGTCTTATATATTCCTATTATTTTCCTTTAAATAATTTTTCGTTGCTTCCGTCCGTGCGTCACTGCAGGGGGGCCAACTGAAAACCAGTGTTGGGTACTTACTGTGCCCAGCTTATACTGAGTTGGCGAGCCCTTTCGTCGTGGACATGCTGCCACCCTGTCTCTTTTATTTTGCTTTTTTTTATAATGTTTTTTTGTTGTTTTTTTTTTTATTTTGTTATTTTATGTGTTTTATATTGTTTTCTTTTTATTTTTGTTTATGTTGTGTGTTAATTTTCGGTGGTCCATGTCTGGTGGCGAATAAATTATTTTTCTTTCTTTCTTTCTTTCTTATATGGTGCTATATAATTATCTGCCACGGCTTTAATGGAAGGTACTCTTGTGTTTAAAGATTACAATAGTGAAGAAATTTCATACCCCGGACCAGCTAATTCAATTTGAGAAGATAAATAATGTGGTTCATAAATTACGCGCAATGCGTCGCTTAGTCAATGAAATCAATTACTATCTCTTTCCACGTGTACTGAGAAAGAAAACGGAAATCAGCTGACTAGTTCGTCACTATCTAATCTACTAGATACTCAATAGGCAGGCTAACAAGTGTTTTAAAAGTGCAAGTAATTACGGGTACGGTATTCGTCCAAAAAACTGATGTAGGTAAATAAGATGATAAACTTCCCATCACACTTAAAACAGGCTTTGGACTGTCAAGTTAGCGTAAAAATCGTATTTTTGAATTGTTTTAATTTAAATGAATATCAAATAAATAAATAATAAAGTTATTTGCATGGTATTTACTGTTATTTACACACTACCGTACTTACTTATCTATAAAACTCTTGCACAAGTCCACCTTCGCGTTCCACACAAATGAAGGCACGTTTCCTAACATGTCATAATTATCACATTATTTAATGTGTCCGTTTCACTTTTACTTGCCCAAATGCGCGTTTGATTTCGCGTTTGATTTTGCACGTGATTTAAAAGACGCCACACGTAATTGTCACTAACGTCGTAAACCCCGGCGGCATCCTTTGTGCTCGCAAGACGACTCTAACACTTCCTCTTCGAGTGCAGCCGATAAAAGCGGGCCGGGTCAAAGCGGCCGTGTTCTCGGAATCGGTACACTGTACCCAGGATGGTATGATGACTCACTCGCACATCGAATCTGTGCTAGTATAAATTAACCGTATGTGCAGTTATGGAGTTATGGAGTTACCCGCAGTAGCACTACACTACACGTCAAGATATTGTTGATTTGAATATCGTCACCTGGGAGGCATTTTTACGTAGCGCGCGCGTATCCCCGACACTGAAACTAACGTCCAGGTAGGCGGGGGTTGACTGGGCTACTGGCGGGCGGCGCGTGCGACGTGTTCTGAGGGTGTACGCGGGGGTGTACTCCTTGCCGTCTAGCCGATGCCTGTGTCGACGCCGAGCGGTCTTATAACTCGTTTGATACGAATGGCAACAGTGTATGACGGGGCGGCGTCCGCGTTTTGCGAATTGAATGAATTTGGTGCAGTGCGGCAACACGGGATGGTTTTATGCCAATAAATCAATACAAATAAATACGAAAATTTTTTTGTATGAAAAATTAAATGACTCATAATCATACATTAAAATAAAAATTACGTATCTACCCTATTTATCAATGTGTGTATACCTTTCAGTATGTCCATATTACAGTATTCCATATTTGTCTAATGTTATTCCCAAAAATGTTGTAGCTTCAAATTTCTCTACAACGCTGTTTGCATATTTTATTTGAAATTGCAAACGTTTGTTATTTAAGCCTGAAACTGCATAAGTTTGGTTTTAATAATGTTAACGTGTAAATGTTGTGTCAAACCACTAAACGCTTATCGCTGCCATTGCAGCGGTAAGTCCCCTCGGTTCTTTGAGGAGTGTAGTTAAGCATCTTTGAGGAATGGCTTAAGAGACGCTGCGGCGTACTCGCCTACCGCCTAAGGCGGTGCTTACCGGGAGCTTTGGGAGGAACCTGTGTCTGATAAGGCGGGAGGAAACGCCCGGGTGTCATCACTGCGAGGATCACCCTGAGGACACGGTGGAACACACGGTGGGGGCATGCCCTACGTGTGATGAGCACCGCCGTACCCTCAGGGATATGATCGGCGCCGGTGACGTCACGCGTCCGGCCCTAGTCTGGGCCATGATGCAGAGCATGGAGGTCGCCTCCGATCAACGGGCCTGTGGATGGCGATCTTGCGTAGCGTACCCGACCAGTACCAGACCCGAGCGTACGGCGTGCCGCGTTCCGCGCGCGCCTCAAAGTGCCATCAGACCAACACAGATAGGGCCCAATAGGGCTGATGTCGACACAGAGCCGCGGAGAATTTAACGGGTTGCTGGGGCTCCGGCCCGAAGTGCAGAAGTAGGAACGGGGTGGTTTTTATTCAGTAAGAGTCTGACACTGCCTCCAGCCTCACCTACTAGACGGGAGAAAACATTCGATGATTTTTCCCTCTCAAAAACAAAACAAAAGTATCGTATCATCATGAAACTTAGAAATTACATGAAGATTGGATGACCATATCATATTAAGGGGTAATCGACGTGGTCTGATGATAGAATTGGAAGGTGGCTGATATAACCATAGATTTTTTTTCTATTCAATGGATGGACCCTTGAATTGCGTACTAGTAAATATATTAAGTTTGGACTTAATAAATAAATCCGTTTCTCCTGATTACTAGAATATAATTATATTATAACGCAAGGCGTATTTTTAGCTTTTTAAATTAGTTTCATTAATTAATATTCACTTGCAGGTAAGAGGATGAATGACAAAGTAGTTGCTATTATAGATTCATCTGCTGTTCGCCTGAACAAATATATTCTTTCATGCGGATTTGATGGTACTAATGAAAATATGAAGAACGTATTTGCCAGGATGACATTCGAGTCTGATATTGCACGTTCGTAAATTTTTTAAATATAAGTCTTTGGTATTTATTTTAGCACTATTATATATTTTTAATATATTGTGTAGAAATATTTTAACACGTGGATTAAACAGACTGGTCAGAAGTATACCTACTGCATATATTTCATAAACAAAAGAAGAACATAAATTGGTTTCCATTCTTGAAAGTGGTCATAGATGACTTGCCATTAATACCTAATATAAAGTAAGGAAACAAGATTTATACGGCGTTATTTCTGGCGGTCGATGAGAGAAAACTTGGTTCTTCTTAGTTACGCCATCTATGATTCTTCTTTTCTATTTTCAGATGATACGGTGCGTGTGATCGGTCTGAACAGACCAAACATTATGTATGAGTACCTCAGCGGTAACGTTTGGACAACCGTCTACCAATACTCGGTAGGCGAAACTTTAAGATTGGGATGTGTTCTGAATACTTGGCCCCCGAGAAACTATATACTTATTTGGACTTTTCATGGTAAGTAACACGGGTTTTTTTGTATCATCAAGCCTGTATCCCTCAGGGGATGAAACCCCTGAGGGATAGGCAGACAAGGACATTATGGCACGAAATACCACAGTACAGTGTACACCAACTTTTCACCAATTATATTATAAGCCCTATATGTATAAACCTCTTTTTTGAAGGCCATCAAAAAGCGCCTAGTTTTTTGGGGAGACAGACTACTAAGGAGTGTGGGATTTTGACCTTACTAAAACCCCGGAGTCCCCACGGTGCAACGCCTGTTACGGTACATCGTTAGATGAAAGAAAGAAAGAAAAATAGTTTATTTGTACACTGTCACAAATTGCACGAAAAAATATTGGTTGGTGCGGTGGCTGGGCAACCGGCTGCCGCGCAACGTGTCGTGGGTTCAATTTCCCCACGAAGCAACTCTTTGTAGATCACCTACAAATTTATGTTCCGGGTCTGGGTGACATGTGTATGTGAACTTGAATGTTTGTAAACGCACCCACGACACAGGAGAAAATTCTAGTGTGGGGCAACGTTTAAAAAAAATAGTGAAGACGGCGCAAAAAGGCCAGAAAGCTTGGCTCAGTTCAGCTTAAATGCCGTGACCCGAGCGCAATAGATAGACGTGTGTCTCCCTTGTGCCTCGCTGTGCACGGTGTGTGTCTTCCCTGAGGCTACTATGTGGACACCTAGTCCCCACTCTATGCACTTGTGACCCAATTCCCATGTACCTAATAAGGGACCAGCACTATTAACAACGGGTACAATTCTAGAGTACCGAGAAAATATCGAACATCTGAAAATATTCCATTAATGCGTTTGCCTTTCCCGACCAAGGAATCGAACCCGAGACCCCTTGTCCAGCACTAGTAACGAGGCCGCCTTGTCACAGGTTTTATCATTCTCAAATATTCTATAGGGTGTAGTGTATAACACGTTATATGATACTACCATCTGCCTGCTTTTCTGGGATAAAATTACCCCATATGTTATTCCAAGCTACCATCTACCTCGGTACCAAATTTCATCTAAATCCTCCCGGGAGGATAATAATACCGTAGACCGGGCACAGAGGCTCGAGCCCACAGCGCTGATTTTCAGCACCAGCTAACGTACTTATTCAAACCTTCTCCGAGCGAGAAGAGGTCATTAGTCAGTAGTGACCACTTTTACAGACAATTTTTATAACATAACATAACATCACGCCTTTTATCCCCGAAGGGGTAGGCAGAGGTGTACATTATGCCACTGTACAATGTAACACCTACTTTTCACTATTTATGTTATGAGTCCCATGTAATAGGGGGTGAGCCTATTGCCATATACCGGGCACAATTCCAGACTCCGTGCTACTATTGAGAATTTATAAAAACCCAGTAGTACTTCGCTCGACCCGGGAATCGAACCCGAGACCCCTTGACCGGCAGTCGCACTTGCAACTCTTTAGTTGCATCAATTTCCACTTCACTAAGGAACTAAAGTCGTTGAAAGATTTTGTGTTGATATTGGTCATTGAAATCGGCAGTTTTTTAAAAAAAACAACGTTGCTTCACACTTGGCCAGTTCACATACAAAATGACACCCAGACCCGACTAACTGTGGATCACACAAAGAGCTACTCTCCGTGCGGGAATCGTACCCGCTACACGTAGCGCGGCAGCCAGTTGCTCAGCCACCGCGTCAACCGTTCAGTCCAACAGTTAGGCTGTTGATGTGAAGCTAACCCCTGACTTATAACTACTGTCAAGTATTTAGGCTGATGACAACCACAGTGTCTTTTAATATCACCTATCCTGGGTTAGGGGTTCCTAAAATTAACGGTGTGTATCAAATATCAGATAGATATGTCGCCAGGAAGGGAATAAAATTCTATATCGAATAATAAAATTTTCACCTGAAGGTATTAATGTTGTGCTCAATACGATTACACTGCCAACTAGTGGCGAATAACGGAAACTATCCTACGGCGTGAACATCGTGCAATCGTACCGTGAGTGGCAGCTCAGTCGTAACTAACTTCACTCGATAAATTCATGTAAGGTCGTTTACGCTTACGAAAACTTTACAGTAATTTTAAGCAAATATTTTTATTTTATTTTATTTACACTTTTTGTATATATACAAAGGCGGACTTAATGCCTAGTGGCATTCTCTAACAGTCAACCTTAGGGTGATGCAGAGAGACACAATAGTAGGTGTAAACGTTTAACACTTATTAGAATGACACAATAATTAACATTACATATGATTAACATTAACATTAAAATTAACATCATATATAATTATACATATCATACAATATATACTAATTAAATATAAAATATATACGTAATGCAAAACGAACAGTAGACAAATAAGTATGGGACATATATATACCTAAATATACGAAGGAAAATACATAACATAATATAACATATATACATACATAATTATACACATATATATACATAAATACGAACAAGACCTAAGTGTGTGTTGAGTCTGCTAGCCTCTTCTGTAGATACTCACGAACCTTAAATTTGAAAGACAGACGACTGGTCGCCGTCCTGATATCCGTGGGCATCGCATTCCACAGCAAGATAGATTGTACGAAAAAAGAAGAGTGAAGAAGTCAGTTCGATGTGTGGGACATTGTAACAGAAGATTATTAGAAGAACGGAGGTATTTGCTATGGTTAGCGCTCACATACTGAAAATATGAGGAAAGATAAGTAGGAGAATTGGGAGAATTAAGAAGGGAGAATAAAGTAGTTAGCGCCCGTTGTTCCCTGCGCTGACGTATGGGCAACCACTTTAGTTGCAATCGAAATGCAGAGACATGGTCGTACTTGCGCAGGTTGAAGACGAATCGAATGTAGGTATTCAAAAGGCGGTCAAGTTTGTTAAGTAGATCTGCATTCAGGTCGAAAAAACACACATCAGCATAATCAATAATGGAGAAAACCAAGGACTGGACAAGCATTATCTTAGCAGAGAACGGAAGAAAGTTCCTCAAACGATACAGGGCCCGCAGCGTCCCGGTGACCCGTTGGCATATGCTAGTGACATGAGCACGCCAGTTTAAGTTACTGTCAACATCATACAAGCCAAGATTCCTCACGTCGCCGCTGAAAGGTATGATCGCACCGTTGAACAGTACCGGTGGCATAGTTTCACTGTCAACCTTACACAAGGTACGAGAACTTCCCACCATAATCGCCTGACATTTATTCGGGTTCACAGCTATTCCAAACCTCTCAGACCAATTATGTATAGCAGCTAAGTCAGCGTTCACTCTCGCGATTGCCCCAGGCAAACCCTCGATCCTAGCCCGACAGTACACCTGTAGGTCGTCGGCATACAGATGGTACGCACACTGAAGTTCAGAAGTAATAAGGTTTATAAAAATAGAGAATAAAAGAGGAGAAAGAATACCGCCAATAAATATATAACACGTTTAATTTTGATAGAACAATAAAGTACTTCATTTAATACATTCTTGCTCTTCATCGCATAGGGACAGAAAATGTGAAGATGTCGAATATCTTTGTGTCTTTCACACAATAGTAGCATTTTTCTACTCTTCAACAGGCACAGAGTCAACTACACGTCATAGAGACAATTACTGGAAAATGAAGTATTCAGTGGAAAATTTCACAACAACTTTAACTGAAAACGATGATAAAAAAGTTATTGAATGCATGGCTTATCAAAATCTAAATGTATTAAAAAATGCTGAAGTAAAATTACAACTGAAAGATATATCAAACTCTGAAAACTTAGAAGCTGATACTAATACATGTGAGTAACTGATGCGAAAATTTCATTCATTTTGCCCTGCTTTTTATGGGATAAGCCGGTAAACGAGCAGACCGTGCAACTGATGGTAAGCAATAGGGTAGATGCCTAATTTTTATTATAATGTCCGTCTGGTAGACAATTTTAATAATTAGACACGAATTGTTTATTTTATTACAGAAACGAATACTTTCGACGATATATTGATTTAAAATGTCGCATGACGTCACTTCTACGTACATTTAATACGTAGAAATGACATTCACACATAGAATTTAATTGAATAATTTAATAATTAAATAAAACTTGAATAATTTAATTAATTATTTATATTATTTTAAACTTGTAATTAACTTGTAGTTTCATTTAATACAGATGTATAATTGATCGCCATATTGTATATATTTTTTTTATTTTTTCAGATACTTCGGATAATTTATTCATCATATTTGTATGTATTTTTGGTATTTTATTAATTACTATTGTGGGTATAGTCTACTGGTGTAAAAGACTGCGAAGACCAAAAACAACTGAGGTATGCTATATTTCTTTTTAACCGCAGAGTGGATAGAGGTATATATATATATAACTGCTCATAAATGGCAGAGGATGTATGTATGTGTGTGTTTGTTACTCTTCCGCACAATAACTACTAAAGAGATCGAGATGAAATTTGGAGCAGAGGTAGGTTGTGGTCTGCAATAACCGAATAACACATATGCCACTCTTTATCTCATGAGACCGCGAGTGAGGCCACAGGCAGAAGCTAGCTACTACAATGCAAGCTAGCATCCTTACTTCCTTACTTCCTTACTTTATATTATAAATCGGAAAGTGAGTTTGTTTGTTTGTTTGTTTGTTCCGCTTTCACGACGTAACTACTGAACCGAAATGCTTGCTTGCTTTGAAATTTTGCAGTGGTAAAGTTAGAAGTCTGGATTAAATAATAGGGTACTTTTTATCCCGGAATAATTTGATATTCCCGAGGGAAAACAAAAGTGTTGGTATAGATGGCGCTATGTGTATATGTCACATATGCTACTTTTTATCCTTTTGTGACGCGAGCGAAGCTGCGGGTAAAAGCTAGTATAATATACAATGTAACGCCTATTTTTCACTAGTTTTGTTATGAATCCTATGTAATAGAGGATGAGCCTATTGCCACATATCAGCCACAATTCAGAGTAATTGTTACTTAACCCAGTCCTTAGCAATTGTTATCGGAAAAAACTCGTTACCGAGGAATAGTTGAAGTAAAAATGGAATATTTACTTTACCGGACCGGGAATCCACACCCACTTTTCCCAATTTACGTTATGAGTTCCATGTAATAGAGAGGGAGCCTATTGTCATATACCGGGCACAATTGCAGACTCCGTGCTACTACTGAGATTTTTTTTAAATCCAGTAATACTTTGCCGGCCCGGTAATCGAACCCGAGACCCTTTGCCCGGCAGTCGGACTTGTGATCACTTGTCCAACGAGGCAGGCAGCAGAGCAGTAAATAAATATTGTTTTATTATTACTTCTTTGTCTACAGGCACCTTGCGACAATCTTAGAGATGAGAATGAAATGACTCCAATACCCGAATCGACGTACGACTCATGTTTCAGTAAAAATTTCTCCGATATACAAGCAAATAATGAATTTCCACAAAGTTCAGAGAATTCTGAACCTTGTAACCATAAATATGAGGAAGTAAATTATTCACAATGCAAACCAAAATCAGGTGAATCTCAACAACGATCGAGCACAATTTATAATGAACCTTATGATCATTTTAGAATATATCGCAAAGAGAAATAATTTTGTAATTAATGTAATAAATTACGTTTAAAAAACTTGACTTGTATCTCCTTTTTAACCGACTTCGAAAAAAGGAGGAGGTTCTCAATCCGACCGTATATATGCTTTTTTATGTTTGTTCGCCGATATCTCCGTTATTTGTGAACCGATTTTGAAAATTCTTTTTTTTTTGGAAAGGAGATAGTCCTAGACCATTCTCATGATAAGAAAATCAGGATCTGATGATGAAAGACCAGGGAAAAATAGGGAAACTTTTAAAAATTATACGGGCAAGTCGAGGGAACTCCTCAACGGTTAACTGTAGCTACCTTGTGTTTTCAATACAAATTAATAATTAAATAAAATGAAGTTGAATACATTAAGTCATCGTATGCGGCCTACGTGACCTGTCACACGTACGCACGACGACGTTTCGTGTGCGACGGTGGCGACAAGGCACTCAAACTACAATACCCTTCGAGAGCAGAGTCGACATGTCAAATTCTTAAACTAATGTAATCAATTTTTAAATAAATAATTACTTGTAATACCGTATATACAGACATTCTTTCATTTATAACAACTAAGCTATAGAGGCTGTAATTACCAACCACTTTAACCACAAAACTGTCGATTCGCACGTACTGCGGTTGTAAAACATGAAACCACCCGCGATATTGTCAACCTTAACTCCGAAGACAGAGTACTTTATGAATTAGGTACAATTTGTAACCGTATTCAAGGTGAAACATTTGTTACTGTAAAAAACCACAAGTACAGTTACTTATATCAGTTTTCTTGTTTCAAGAACACAAGCAGTTAAAACTACTGCGGTTCAGCCCATGAGCTGACCAAAGTGTTAACCCGCAACGGACAACAATCTGTCACTTAAATGAAGTCAGAAATATTTTATACGGAGCCTAAATTATAATTCTACAAAACAAAACTAGACGAAAATGTTAGAGATTAGCACATACATTAAAATTATGCCAAACTAAAATAAGATTTAATAATTATGTAGTTAGTCTTTAACAAGTTTTTAATGTGGGAGAGCCATGCTTTGGCACGATTGGGCCGGCTCGAGTGGAGTGATACCACAGCCTCACAGAAAACCGACGTGAAACAACGCTTGCGTCATGTTTCGTAGTGTAAGTGAGGTTACCGGAGGCCGATTGACCCCCCTCCCTAGTCTCCCGAATCCCCGAGTCCTCGACAATCCTTAAATTCCCAATTCCCGAAAGGCCGGTAACGCACTTATAACGCCTCGGTGTTTCGGGTGTCCATGGGCGGCGTCGATTGCTTACCATCAGGTGATCCGTCTGCTCGTTTACCAGCATATGCTATAAAAAAAAGTTTGTTACATTTTTGACCGTTTGACCGTACAAAAAAAGTTTGTTACATTAACAGATGTGTTAAATAGAAACTGTCATATAAACTAATGTTTATCGACGAATCATATTGTGGCCCTGAAAAGGGCCTTTTGTTTTAAGAATTCGATGCGACGCGTGTCCCATGCACGCATCGCAACTTGAAGTTCTCAGACGACCTGTATCACCTCCCGGGATCCAAATGACTCTAGCACTTGGTCTTCCTCAGCATCCAGCTTAGCTTTGACTTCCTTCTTCTTCATTTTCTTTCCTCTTTGCCTCTAAGTAAGCCACAATTATTGCATCCATTGTGGCTTGTGACAAAATCATGTCTTCAGGGGATGGTGACCTCCACTCCATTTTGCTGCAGGTGCCCTCCGATTCGAAGTGCCACTCAGTACGTTCAACAGGTGTCATTACGGATGGTACAAGTGCCATGCTTTTATGTCTCGCAAATTTTTTGAATTTACTATCGTCGCTATTTGTTCCGCAACTGCGTGCAGTTGAAAGACAGAAGTCATGTTTTGCACCGCTGTTAGACATGTTCAACAAGCTTTTTAGTTAGGTTATTCGAAAATCACTTTTACTTCACAGACGACTGTTCGCGTCAACTACAAGTCGAGTACTGACGCCTCGGCAATTGTGATTTGGTTGGCCAATTTTAACAAAGATAAAAATTGGAGTGGGGTAAGCCACTGCCAAGCAATCGCGTGTGGTTATTTACCATGAAAACCGTTACTCATGAAAATACCAACCGTGGGAACCATAAAATAACGCATTTGAGTATTTATTTTTGTTTCTATCTCTGTCTCTCTTCTTTTGTTTGAATTTGTATTGTTTTGAGTTAAAGCTTTCCACTTCCTTTGTCAGTAGTAATTACTTATTATCTTGGCTGTTGAAATATTTAATTGTCTCGATTAATTTTTTATTGTCATGGTTTTACAGTTCCGATTTGAGTAAATCACGTATCTTAATTGTTGAAAAGGGAGAAATGTTCATAATTATTTTAAACGTATTATCATTTATCATTATGGTTTTAATTAAATACTCAAGAGGTCTTGCATAATTTTATCAGCTCCTCCATTAGCGCAACTGTCCATTATTTTCTTTATAATTATTTGATTTAATACTGCCGCCGCCACTAAATCAGTAGGTTTAGTTCTGATGACTGGGATAACATTTCTATGATTCAATACAACGTTAAGGATTATATACTTCTTTACGTCCGAATATTAAACTGCTACTCAATTTTATGTTGTATATAAATATCGTGCTTTGTTAGAAACCCAACCAAGCAGACGATGCGCGCTTTTGTCGTCACACCGGGTTCAAGCTTTACGTCAGCTAAGCCATCGTATGCGACCTACGTGACCTGTCGCATGTACGCACGACTGAAGAAACTCCGGTCTTCTCTGAGAGCAGAGTCGATATATAAAACTTTTAAACTGTTATTAGTTGTACAATATTTTTCTTCTACATTTACTAATATAATTTTCCGAACCAAATTTTAAAACGTTAGAGATTCAAAGAAAACTCAAAAAATGAAATTATACTAAACTAAGTAACGAACATTATTTCGAAGGTTTAATAATGGGTTCTTAGCCCCCAATAAGTTGGTTACGTTTTTGACTACATCTGTTAAATAGAAACTGTCATATAAACAAATGTTTGTCGACGAATCATATTGTGGCCCTGAAAAGGGCCTTTTGTTTTAAGAATGCGATACGGTGGGTGCTTTCCACGTCTGCTCCTAGCATCATTATAGTCTAAGCTGCTCGAAGTCACGAAGCAGTTTTTGACTCTTCACACGTATTTCTACTTTCTTCAGTAAATCTGTCAGTCGTTCACGAGACATAGGACGCACTCCTTGATCTGCTCGCCCATGGAGCAAGCTGCAGCTGCTGTTGTCACCATCCTTGTTCGTATTTTCTTTATCAGTATGATCTATTGCTGCCGCTGCCACTGACTCAGTAGGATCATTTCTGATGGTTGGGACAACATTTCTTTGATTCAGTTCACCAAAATTATTACCCGTGTTGTTAATAAATTTCCACGCGTTGGTAACATGGCTCGCTGAGTGTGTTGTAGGTTTAGTTATACCACCATTCCTTGCTCGCGGTATGTTCCGAATGCGGCCACGTCTAAATCTATCACCGGCTACTTTTCCAGTACTGTCTCCAAGTCTTCCAGATATAACTTTACGCTCAGCGTCACCATCACTGGGAGTATCTTCGATGTAGTTTTTGATACAATCGAAATCCATTTCAGTTTCCTCGAACATGTTGCTATTTAAATGTCACTGGTAGAAATGATGTCTCTAGTACGACAACGAGTCAAATACTAACGAAATGTCTCACTAGATTCTCTTTTATATAGCAAAATGTACCCAATTAGCTAATGATGGACAATTAATGAATATGTTAACATTAGTGTTCCTGAAATCGTTATAATGGTGCTCGTTACTTAATATGACAAACTATAGACGATAAGTGATTAGTGGAATTAGAGCATAATTTGAATTGAATCTGATTAATACAATAAATTTTTATTATAGGTACAATTTTTTAACCAAAAACTATTGTTAAATGTTTGTGTTGACATAATGATAATCACTCACAAAGAAAATATCTAAGAACTCATTGAAAATATTACCACTTGTAGCTACTAATACTTAAACAATAGAGGACTAGTGCTTTGTTAGCGTGGGGGCAACAGGCCAAAGTTCAGGTAGTTCGCAGAAAAGTAAACGACGAAGCACTCGAATTGAAAGTTTGGCAAAGCCCAGAAAATATTTAGGATTTCATTGACTTCTTTACAACATGCTATTTAATACCAAGACATCTAAAAAATAGTTTTAACTACCTTGGCGACTCATATTTGAAGTTTTTGTGATCATTGGAAAGTCTAAAATCGCATAGGTAAATAATTTGGAATCAGTGGGATGCAAGGCATAAAAACTGTTTGAACAACTGCTGGACCTCCCAAAACTATTGCAATGTTCAGGTTGTTGTGAAACAATAAGACTTGAAGTCATACCCCGTTATAGAAATTTGAATGTTTTAGATTTGTTAGCAAAATTATTCGGGCACCTATTTTACCTTCAAATCTTCACGGGACGTGGGAGAAGGCCAATCGGTTCAGAACCTCTTGTGGGTAAGGGACTGCATCTTCTTGGTCCATTATATTGTCAATAGATGTGTAGGTAACTATATCTACTGGAAGTTTGGCACAAATAAGGTCGTTTATTTCGTCAACACTACTATTTCTCGCCACCAATATTGCCCTTTGACACATCAATTGATAATCCATATTTTCTATTTCAACGATATCAGTGTAAACTTTAGGTATTAAATCCATTAAATTTCTAAATTAAATTTCCATGTTGGGAACCTGCGTTTATTTATAAATATTATTATTTTCATTTATATACTATTAGCAGGCCAACCCACATTGAGCAAGCGTGGTGTATAATGCTCAATTCTTCTCAGTATGGGAAGAGGTCTTTGGTAAGCAGTGGCTACTTATAGGTAGTTGAAAATGATGATGATGATGATGATACATAGTCTTATGGTAATATTGGGATACACGGGTCCTAACTACATAACATAATTCTCCAAAACGAAAAATCAAAATATTTGAGAGTAGGCCACAATT